TATCAGTGTAAATGTGTCCTGTCACAGGATTGCCGGTTATCGCCTTCCCTTTGATCACACAGTGACAGTACATGAGGAAAGGGAATGCCGATAATCAGCATTTGTTTAAATGTGATCAGCTGTGATTGGACACAACTGATCACATGGTAAAGCAGCCCGCCGAGGACATTTATCCGGCCCGCCGGGTGTGTTTTGTAATATTTGTCATCCCCCTGCGTACTTTCACGGCGGCATCCCCTGCGTACTTTCACTTTCATTCCACCAGCACCGCCACACTTGACTGGCTCTGCCTCTTCTTCCCTCAGCTCCCTCACCTGCCTCTCGGCTCCGTCTCGGCTCTACCCCCAGTGATATTCCTGTGTGCTGGGGATGTAGATCCGGCGAGTAAATGATAGAGGGGTGGTGTCTGTAATCTCTGGAGGGGCTGCCTGCAGTTATCCCGTGCTGGGCAGTGACAGACAGCCGAGGAGAAGGACACTGATCAGACTGCATTGATGGACACTGGTGAGGCAGCATTAATGGACACTGAGCATACTACATTGATGGGCATTGGTGAGGCTGCATTAATGGGCACTGAGCCTACTGCATTGATGGGCATTGGTGAGGCTGCATTAATGGACACTGATCAGACTGCATTGATGGGCACTGATCAGACTACATTGATGGACACTGGTGAGGCAGCATTAATGGACACTGAGCATACTGCATTGATGGGCATTGGTGAGGCTGCATTAATGGACACTGAGCATACTGCATTGATCGGCATTGGTGAGGCTGCATTAATGGACACTGATCAGACTGCATTGATGGGCATTGGTGAGGCTGCATTAATGACACTGATCAGACTGCATTGATGGGCACTGATCAGACTGCATTGATGGGCACTGAGGTGAGGCTGCATTGATGGGCACTGATCAGACTGCATTGATGGGCATTGGTGAGGCTGCATTGATGGGCACTGATCAGACTGCATTGATGGGCACTGGTGAGGCTGCATTGATGGGCACTGATCAGACTACATTGATGGACACTGGTGAGGCAGCATTAATGGACACTGAGCATACTGCATTGATGGGCATTGGTGAGGCTGCATTAATGGACACTGATCAGACTGCATTGATGGGCATTGGTGAGGCTGCATTAATGGACACTGATCAGACTGCATTGATGGGCACTGATCAGACTGCATTGATGGGCACTGGTGAGGCTGCATTGATGGACACTGATCAGACTGCATTGATGGGCATTGGTGAGGCTGCATTGATGGGCACTGATCAGACTGCATTGATGGGCGCTGGTGAGGCTGCATTGATGGGCACTGATCAGACTGCATTGTTGGGCACTGGTGAGGCTGCATTGATGGGCACTGGTGACACTGTATTGATGGGCACTGATCAGACTGCATTGATGGGCACTGATCAGACTGAATTGATGGGCATTGGTGAGACTGCATTGTTGGGCACTAATGAGGCTGCATTTATGGGCACTGGTGAGGCTGCATTGATGGGCACTGATCAGACTGCATTGATGGGCACTGATCAGACTGCATTGATGGGCCTATATATATAGTCCAGATATAGTCTGGCCCTCCAACGGTCTGAGGGACAGTGAACTGGCCCCCTGTTTAAAAATTTGAGGACCTCTGTTGTAAAGAGTCCCTGTGATTAGCTCTTTACCTCGATCTGTGATTAGCTGTGTCCAAAGGACTCAGCGATCACAGAACATGCTTGATGCATGCCCCATGGGTGTGCAGGGGGGCGGATTTCTGGGAGGACGTCTAGAGATGCCTATCCAGAACTAGATGACCGTACTGTAGCCGTCTTTCAGCTATAGAATGGTCGGCCACTGGTTAAAACTACTAAAAGAGACTACTCCATGTAGTCCACTCTATGGTTGGACAATCATAAACTGCATCTTTTGGAACAAATGTGAGTTTTAGCTGTGATGGTCTCCTACAAGTAACTAGACGTGTTTCTCCCATGGGTCTAATGTTTGCTCACATATATAGGGTACGTTATCTTTGTGCCTGAAACACTACAAATACTCTTAGAGCTGAAGTCTGAGCACAAAAATTTTAATTCAAATACTTTATGTGCAGCAAATGTTTTTGCAAACCTAGATATTACCTTGTAAATGTAACAGTAACATCATCGCTGTACTGTACATAGCCTGTGCAGACAGCAGAACTGTGGGAAGGACTGGAAGCCCCACCCACTACAGACTGCCTACAGGAACTACAGGAGGGGCAGAGACAAGGCCTGTTACTCTGCATCGCATATTATGACAGACTTACCTGAAAACAAATCCTTCCAGTAGTTCGCTGTCAAGGGGCCCGGCACTTCCGTCTTTCCCCACTCTTCCTTCGGGATTCATGGGCCACGCATAAGTACAGGAGTCACAGCTGCACCACAGAGTTCAGATTGGTCGGCACAGTCCATTCCGAGCCCGGGGCACATGCGCCGGTGATGTCTCCTAAACAGTGTCTCGTGACTTTACTACCACTTTGAGAAAGAGAGCACCAGTGACCAGTCTTTATTAAAGGAAGCTTCTGCAGAGATGTAAAGGTTCACACCTGGTTATCGCACAGATCAAGAAGAAATACCCAAAATATGCCAAGATTCAAGAAAGAATACACATGTCTACTTTAGATGATAATCGTCTAACCCGGAGTTCAGCTTTAAAGAAGTATTTCATTTAATTACCTTTAAAGAGTAGACACAATAGGGTTGATTTACTAAAACTGGAGAGTGCAAAATCTGGTGCCGTTCTGCAAAGAAGCCGAAGCTGAAGTTAGAAGCTGATTGGCTACCATGCACAACTGCACCAAAATTTTAAACTCTCCAGTTTTAGTAATTGAACCCCAATATATTCCTGTATAATAATATTTCCAGCACTTGGAATCACTGCAAACTAACTCTAAATAATAATGGCCATATCAATAGAAATCAATCTTCAAATTTTCTTTCGTGCCATGATCAAAATATATGTTTTAAATGCTCACCAGAAAATTAGACCCTCATAAACCAATGGATTATATCAGGTATGTGTAATTATAAAAATGGCCACCAGGTGACAAGTCCCCTCTCTCATCAATGGATACTGGTGGTGAACCTCTTAGGGTCTGGGCTGCTACCATTCTGGTATGGCCTTAAGGTTGTTTCCACACATAGACTTGGAATGATATGAAAGGGGAGTGCCTGATGTCCAAGATAATGCAAATTTGATGGTAGATTAAAAGGCATGTATTGAGAATAACGACAAGTACATCGAGCCAACGCTTTTGGGAGAAAATACTCTCCTTTCTTCAGGGCTATTGAACAAGTACAAAAAATATAAATAAAAACAGATATATGGAAAAAAAAAACCCGAATATATATATATAAATGTTGATTATGTAAAAGCAAAAATACAAACAGGTCCAAGATGAAATGTGTTGTTTTGTGTTCTTCATCACCAATTTTATTAAAAATTGTATTGCAGGTAAAAAAGGCAATCCAAAAAGTACTCCTAGTAAATTAAAGATGGTAGAATCGCAACTTTAAGTCATGCTGATGCAACTTCCAGTTTCATCATTATTTGTATTATTGGCAGCACAGTGGCTAAATGGTTAGCACTTCCACCTGGCAGTACTAGGGTCATTGGTTTGAGTCCCAACCATGGCACCACCTGCCTGGAGTTTGCATGTTCTCCCTGTGCCTGCGTGGGTTTCCTACGGGTACTCCGGTTTCCTCCCACACCGCAAAGACATGCTGATAGGTGAATTGGATCCTGTCTAAATTGGCCCTAGTATGTATATGTATGAATGTGAGTTAGGGACCTTAGATTGTACACCCCTTGAGGGTTAGGGACTGATGTGAATGTACAATATATATGTAAAGCGCTGTGTAAATTGACGGCGCTATATAAGTACCTGAAATAAATAAATAAATAATCCTGTAGACTTTTGTAAAGGAAAGTGATGTCAGTAAGCTTCCTTAAAGTGACACCTGGTGGACATTTTTTAGAATTACACATATCTGATGTGACCCATTGGTTTACGGGAATCTAGTTTTCTGGTGAGATTTTAAAAAAATCTTTTGATCCCTGCACAGAAGTTCATTTGAATCACTAAATCAGAGATTTAGTGACTACGTTGGCAGGAACCTATTTCACCAATACCTTGCACCAGATTCTTTAGTGTACTCCAGTAATTTTTACTTCCTAGCCATTGCCTCCTATTTCTTTGCTCCTCTAGGTGGATTGCTTTAGATATTTTCACTGAAATGAGCCCTTTAAGGACAGAGGTCCAGCTCCTCCTTGTAGTTAGGCCTTTTATACTGTTTCCTCACAAAACTGAAGCATGAGGGTTGGATGCCTGGTTATATGGGGTTGATTTAACATTTTTTATTTTGCCAGTGTCCAAACCTCCTATACGTAGGAGTGTAATCCACATGTCCAAGACTTACTACATTTTTGTGTCCCTCGATGGATTTCTAGAAACAGATTTTAAGTACATCAATCTTGTTTTTTTAGTTTTGGATAGAAAATGAAAGACTTAGACCCTTTCCCAAGTTGCTATTTCTGTCTGTGTCATTGCTGGAGAGATTTGCTGCTGTATTTGTCCTGGTGACCCTTGTTACTGAGACAGAAAGTGAAGATACATCCACAATTTTTGAGTTGTCACCAGAGTGAAAAGTGACACCTGTTCCTGTAACAACTTAAAAATCCTGGTATTTTTAAAGTGGTACTAAACATAGAAGATTTTCACCCTAACCACTTGCGCGGTCATGCAACGCTGCACCCAAATGAAATTTGTGTTCTTTTTTTTTCCCACAAAAAGAGCTTTCTTTCAGTGGTATTTGATTGCATTTTGTGTTTTTTTAAAAAAAAACAATATTTTTGATATTTTGCTATAAAACATGTCCAGTAAAAAAATGTAAAAAAATCCAATTTCATCATAAATTTATGCCAAAATTCATTCCGTTACATGTTTTTGCCAAAAAAAAAAATCCCAATACGTGTAAATTCATTGGTTTACGTGAAAGTTATAGCGTTTACAATGGCGGTATATATACTGGGATTTTTTTTATTTATTTTTACTAGTAATGGTGGCGATCAGCAACTTATAGTGGGACTGTGGCGGGCATTCTGACACTGGAGGGAACTGACTTGGTGTCACTGACATCCCCAGTGACACCAATACAGTGATCAGTGCTAATAAAAAGCACTGAAACTGTACTAATGGCACTGGGCAGGAAGGGTTTAACATGTGGGGTGATGAAAGGGTTAACTGTGTGCTGCTTTACACACTGTGTCCTGTGTTAGTGCTTTACTGTGAAGCACTAACACAGGACACAATGTAAAGCGGCACACAGCACACAGTTAACCCTTTGATTGCCTCACATGTTAACCCCTTCCTTCCCAGTGCCATTAGTACAGTGTCAGTGCTTTTTATTAGCACTGATCATTGTATTGGTGTCACTGGGGATGTCAGTGACACCAAGTCAGTTCCCCCCCCAGTGTCAGAAAGTCAGCTGCAGTCCCGCTATAAGTCGCTGATCGCCGCCATTACTAGTAAACATTAAAAAAAAGCCCAGTATATATACCGCCATTTGTAAATGCTATAACTGTCACGTAAACCAATTAATTTACATGTATTGGGATTTTTTTTAGCAAAGACATGTAGCAGAATAAATTTATGATGGAATTTGATTTTTTCAATTTTTTTACTGGACATGTTTAATAGCAAAATGTCAAAAAATATATATTTTTTTTCTCAAAATTGACGGTCTTTTTTTTATAGCGCAAAAAAAAAATAAAAAACTGCACAGGCAATCAAATACCACTGAAAGAAAGCTCTATTCATGGGAAAAGAAGACGTAAATTTAATTTGGGTGCAGTGCTGCATGACCGCACAATTGTCTATTAAAGTAACGTAAAAAATGGCCTGGTTAGGAACAGGGGTAAATCCTCCGGAGGGCAAGTGGTAAAAGAAAGATGCCGATTTCAAAATACTGCAAATGACTTTTGAAATCATGAAATTATATAAACATGTTAATGCTCCAATGAGATATTATTTACTAGATCTGCATATACTTTAATTACGTTATGTTAGCAATTCTGTGCTTAAAGCACTACTGTTTTGGCTGGAATAAGTTTTTGACATTTGTATAAAAACATCTGCTGTTAGGTTAAATATTATTATAGCTGTTTGTAATTATTGTACCAGCTGCGATGATCTACATATTTAAACTGCAATTTTACAAAATGTATAATTACAGAGAAAAATAAAAAACCTAAAGATAAAGATGATGAACCAAAGAAACCTAACTCTCCGAAGACTAGAGAAGGTGATGATGATCCTGATAATCCTGAAACCCCTCCAAAAGGTATGCACTGTAATATCGTCTAACAGAATAAAGTGTTCTTGATCACAGTCTTTGTAAAATGCGTCTGTGCCTCTTGACCTACATCTATGTTATGCATTCTCAGGGAGCAGTTTTAGTGATGGGTGCGCTGCCAGATTCCACAGAAGCGCAGGTGTGCCACAGGTTTTTGGTACATGGCATGATCTGGGAATAGGGAAGAGGATCTTCAGAATCATCAAATCCTCCCCATTCACAGATTGCATTACAAGAAGGAGAGCAATGAGAGATCATTGGAGAAGGAGGGGGCAGGTCCTTGTCTGGAACTTTTTTCATAGCAGCTCAGCTCAAATCTATGAACTGCCTGTGCATTAGAAGATCAGTCCAGGAAGAGGACAGAGCATCCCTTCCTGCTGTTAACATGCCTGCACAGCATGGGACATACTTCATTACAATGAAGTTAGGTCATTAAAGCTAAAAAAAAAACAAAAAAAGGATAAACTTGTAACCAAGTTAAAAAGAAAAGCTAAACATCGGCTTTTGTTGCGATGCTGATCTTTGTGTTGGTTGTCACTGGATTACGGTATATCCAGGGGAGGACTGACAATTCATGGAGCCCCCCGCGGCAATAGGGGATCATGGGGCCCCTGTGTCCTTGCCCAAACTCAAAAAAGCCTTTGAAAAAGGTACCAGGGGCATCTCATGGGCCCCCTACTGACCCCGGGCCCTCAGGCAGTGCCCGAGTTTCCAAATGGTCAGTCCGCCCCTGGGTATATCCCTGTTGTATTAAATTTCTCCTGAATTGTCTCAGATGAGAATTTCTGTGGTGTCTGAACAGATCCAATTGTATCATATGGCCTTCTTATAGATGATAGTTTCTTTTATGTGCCTAGAAGAAAAAAATTGTCATACCTGAAGTACATAGAATGGTTTGTGGGATTTCTATTGATGGATGTTGACAAGCTAGTTTCATTAATATGTATTGAATTGTCCAGGATAAGGAGGGAACACCAGCACTACAGCAGGAGAAAAGCATATAGGGCACGTGTAGCTATATATCAGATGTTATATCTAATATTGTGTGCAAAATGACCCACGTGACTCTATGTCAGGGACATGGGTGAAACCCTTGCTGCAGTTCTGTGACACCAATCAGCAGGGATATCTGTATAGTAATTCTAAAGCAAAATCAACACCAACACTGTCAGGGCTTACTATGATGTCTTTTCAAATCACAATTTACACACAGACATGAATTATTCATCACCAGTGACTAAGCAGTGGGCTTAGTCTGAGATTCAGTCAGAAAACAGTCAGAGCGACAAGACAGACAGTTCATTCTGTGCTGTCTCTTTAGCTAACCAGGGTGTTCAGGAAAACTATTCATACCTAATAACTCAGGTTAACTAGAAAAGCTACAATTTCTGGGGAAATTGTGTGAAGTGTTCTTGCTTGCTCACACACCTGGGTTCCTATGGCAACTCACTCTACAGCAAGGGCAGAGAAGAGCGGTTAAAAACAAACTGCTCCAACTTGCTCACTTCACTGGCAGTTGCCATCTTCAAACGGTTGTAGTTTAAAAACTATAAATCCTACATCGAAGAGCTTTATATTGTGAGAATCACAAGACCCAGACCTGATGCATAGTATGTCTCTGAAATATTAAAAATGAAGGCACAGTCGCAGTTTAGAAATTTCCCTTCAAATTTGAGGTGGCTAGAGTGGAGTTTCAATGAATGTCAATGGGCAGCGTGAGTTGCAAAGAAACGGTTATATTGTGAAAACTATCAGGACTATGGCTTAGCCGTGGACATTTTTAGTGGCAGCAGGGATAGTTGAACGTTTTGATATACGATTTGTGTAGTTGGGCTTGAAAATGAGGGAGTGATGGCAGTTTAGAAATCATGTCCTGATTTTTCATCTCACACTCTAGCTTTTGTCAGCTCCCACTCTAGTTTTGAACATTCCGCCATTCATTCCTATGGGACCAAGTTCACCACAAAAACGCCAATATTTCGTGAACCATTCAGCGAAACGTTCCACAAAGTAATAGCACACCAATCGGCAACAAACCGAACGTTTCGGTATATTTCTGTCTATGTAGTGTAAAAACTGTGGGAGGAGTTAGGGTGGTAAATTTGGCTATAATAATAAGAATATATGTGAGATAACAGTAAGTGGTCTTGCCATGCAAGAACACTTAAAAGTGCAAGCTTTCAGGATGGCTTAGATCCCTGTATCAGGCTCAGGGGAGGACTGACCATTTGGAAACTCGGGCACTGCCCGAGGGCCCAGGATCAGTAGGGGGCCCCATGAGATGCCCCTGGTACCTTTTTCATAGGCTTTTTTGAGTTTGGGCAAGGACACAGGGGCCCCATGATCCCCTATTGCCCAGGGGCCCCATGAGTTGTCAGTCCGCCCCTGGTCAGGCTTTATAAATGTTATTGCATCTTTAATAACTTAAGTTAGCCAATAGAGTGTATTGCTTAAATTCCAAAAGTAAAAAAAAAGTCATATATTTATTTGAAGACCAACATGTTAAACTGCCTTCCTGCCAAGGCCAGTTTTCAGTGCTATCAGAGTTTAAATGAATTACATGCAACACTGTACCTAAATGAGGAACAAAGTCCCAAGATTTTGAAGAAATGTCTGGTTTTTCTTAGTTTCTGTTATAAAACATTGCAAATAAATAAACAAACGTTCTTCATAAATTTAGACCAAAATGTATTTTGCTGCATTTCATTGATAAAAAAAACCCCAAATAGGTCTATAATATTTAGTCTGTGTAATTTTTATAAGGGGTGATTTACTAAAGACAAATACACTTTGCTCTTTGCAAATGCAGTTACACTCGTTTTCCCCAGAGCTTAGTGAGTGTGGTGAAGCTTCATTTTGTAAAGAATACCCAATCAGGTGCAAGGAAAGTGGTAAAAAAACTAATTTTGCTTGCACTTGATTGTATGATGGAAATCAGCAGAGCTTCACCGCATTCACTAAGCTCCGGGGAAACTGAGAGCAACTACACTTGCAAAGTGCACAGTCTATTTACTTTTAGTAAATCAACCCTATAGGGTTTACAGACCATGATATATATATATATATATATACAGTGAGGAACAGAAGTATTTGAACACCCTGCGATTTTGCAAGTTCTCCTACTTGGAAATCATGGAGGGGTCTGAAATTCACATTGTAGGTGCATTCCCACTCCGAGAGGCAGAATTTGAAAAAAAAATTCAGGAAATCACATTGTATGATTTTTAAAGAATTTATTTGTCTTGCACTGCTGAACATAAGTATTTGAATACCTCAGAAAATCAGTGTTAATATTTGGTACAGAAGCCTTTGCTTGCATTTCCTGTAGTTCATGACCAGGTTTGCACACACTGCAACAGGGATTTTGGCCCACTCCTCCACACAGATCTCCTCTAGATCTGTCAGGTTTCGGGGCTGTCGCTGAGCAACTGGCTAGGCCACTCCAGAACCTTGATATGCTTCTTACGGAGCCACTCCTTGGTTATCCTGGCTGTGTGCTTCAGGTCGTTGTCATGTTGGAAGACCCACCCAGCCACGACCCATCTTCAATGCTCTGACTGAGTGAAGGAGGTTGTTGCTCAAAATCTCACAATAAATGGCCCCATTCATCCTCTCCTTAATACAGTGCAGTCGCCCTGTCCCCTTTGCAGAAAAGCACCCCCAAAGCATGATGTTACAACCCCCATGCTTCACAGTAGGGATGGTGTTCTTGGGATGCAATTCATCCTTCTTTTTCCTCCAAATATGACGAGTGAAGTTTAGACCAAAAAGTTCTACTTTGGTCTCATCTGACCACATGACTTTCTCCCATGCCTCTCTCCCATGCCTCCTTTGGATCATCCTGATGGTTATTGGCAAACTTCAGACGGGCCTGGACATGTGATGACTTGAACAGGGGAACCTTCCGTGCAATGCATGATTTGAAACCATGAC